GTTGGTGTATACGAAAATGATAAAGAGTAGCGTTCCATGCGAAATTTCGTTTTAATTTCGTTCGTAAACGAAATTTCGTTTTCGAGAAAGCGAGTAGGCCTCCTGAAATCCTCTCACTTTCGGTGTTTACAATGGATTAAAAAAATAGCGCTTGATAATAAAACGGAGTGGGATAATACCGCATCGCTGTAATTACATTACATAAAGTATCGAGTCAAATACAATTTTCATAACCCTCCATAAGCTTGGTATTAGTAAAATTTTTGTGTACCGGGCTATTGATAGGTACAATGAAATCTCCTCTATTTGTGACAGAAGAAGATCTGACCTTCCACGTAGTGATCGTACAAAAAAGGTGATTAAAACAGCCTTCAGGATGATAAGTCATATTTAAGAAACTGTTTAATCCACTTATTAACGAGCACAATAAATTTACCTTTAAAGTGAATACTAGAGGGTACAACAAATATTTCTTGACTGTTCTGTTCACGTTCGCAATTTGATATCGCCTTCCTACTCTCACCACCGAGGTGCGAAAGGGAGGGTAGTTGATTTAACCCGACACGTTCGTCACATGTTACTAATGACTGCTTAATATGGTGTTGTGTTAAGGGGAATTTTGTACTTTATTTCTGTCTCTCCTTATAAAGAAACTAGTTGTTTTCCGTGAAATCATTTGCGTAATACATGGATTATTTTAAAGCTTATACAATGCAATCAAACAATTATAATTGCATTGAGTAGGCCTAAAAACATCTTAATTGTACTGGTATAGACAAAAACTAAAGAAAATATTTGATTAAATTTTTAGTTATCTATCTATTTTATCTATAAATAAGAAAAGAAAATGTGTCTGACTGACTCATCTACAAAAACACAGCTCCAAATTATCTGAATTATTGTTTATTCAGCTTCTTTGAAGGAGGGTAGTCCCTGAATTAACATACATTTTATTTTTGCTCCCATTTAATAGTTCCTTATGGACCACGCATACGAAAAACTAGTAGATTATAATATAGGAGAAAAAAAACGTAAATATGATTTACAGTAACAAAAAATATTAAAATCTGTGTACTGATTAAAAGTTTTTCCTGTATGACAGGGTGTGTATAGTCAGTGAGTGATCTTACATTTTATAATTTATTTATTTATTTCATTGCTTCTCTTACATTGACGTTATTATTTAGAATCAATTTTTATTTTTTTGAATCAGAATTTATAATATACTCTAATCAATTTATTTCAAAAACTAAAGTATATTATGATGGTGAATGAAAATAAAGTATATTATCGTTGACCATCGTCATCATCAGCCTGTAACGTCCCCGCTGCTGAGGCTTAGACCTTCCCTATAGATGGAATCAAATCAAATAGGGAGAATGAGCCATAACACAACACGCGGGCCCAGTGCAGATTGCTGGGTGTTAAGGGCCTAACGGCCTCATGTGCCTTCCGAAACACGGAGCTCAAGATAGCAAATTTTTGGTCACCCATCCTAGGACCGGCCATTCCGAAAGTTACTTAACAAAACCGCATTGCAGACCGAGCGCGAACAACTCCATCAGCCATCGAGCTCTTCAAATTATTTCCGTACGTCGCCAGTCGAAAAGGTTAAGAGTCGCCGCTCAAATGACTCACCCTTAATAATTATATTTGTTTGAAACTTCAATACGCAAAGTTTCAGGTCCATTCCGACGGCAAGTTATTATAATTATTCGCAATATGATATTGATTATTATTTGACTTCCGTAATCAGCTGTTTATTTTACCGTTTCGTTACCTGGTAGTTTATTAAATAAAGCCCAGTTCTGGTTCTTCGTTTTTCAAATATATATGTTGCATTTATTTAGTCGTTATATTGTATATAGCCTTCCCTATCGACTTCGTGCTTGGGAATGGACGCTAAGTCGTTGATTTCGGCTGTTACTGCAGTCATGAATGAACACCTATAAATTCACTCTGAGTTTGAATGGTGGATTATGGCAAGTTGTCCATAGTTGATTCCATCTGGAGCGGAGGCTAGGCTAGACTAGGTCTGTATCCACAATTATATTGATATTTGTCTTTAAAAATATATATATATATATATATATAAATCAAATAATTAGTACTCATTTTCAACATAGTCAAAAGTATATATACAAATATTTTTTTCAGCTGGTTAAGTGATTTACCTGAACAGCTTGAGAATTCATCAATCCTGCTAGGTCTTGGGAGCTCTATTCGTAAGAGCAGTCGCCTTGATAACGAAAGGTTATCATAGGCCAATTCAACTATTTGCATTTTGCCAATTGTACAATCTAACTGAAGTACATTATTATAGTATTGGACTTCAGGTAGATATTACAATCATAACACGCAAGTAGTTGATATTCCATTAAGATGTGATTATTACGTCAACAGCATAATTGGTCTATAGTTCGTTAGCCATTTATAAGATAAATCGACGATTATATAAGAAAAACTAGAGGATAATTTCTGGGTAAACGCATTGCTATGTTCAATAAAGTTCTACAAAATGTAATTAACCTACCCATATATAAATATAAAAAAATCATGTAATGAACATACTTATGAGTAAAGGCTATTGTAAAGTTGATATTATTTTAAGGACCACAATGCATGCAATTAATAGCCTTCGCTTTGTTCTATAATGACTAATTATATATACAACCTATGTCCTACAGACTTTGAAAGTTGTATTTATTATTGTGATGATACATACTATTTTGGTAATGACATGATTTATGTAAATGTTATTAGCATTACTTATGATAAAGAGCTGGTAAGTTTCTTTCGCTAGTTCTTCTTGTCATCAAAAAGACGTCCTGAACAAGTGGTAGGGGAAAAAACATTTTTTTTGACAATTCAAAAGTGCTTGAAATAAAGATATTTTCATTTCAAAAATCACTTCTTTAACTTTCTCATTGCTAAATATATATTTTCGCTTTCACAATAACAATGATTGTCCTAATCGACTTCCACTAATTAGGGTAAGCCTAAAGTGCTCATATAATTACTGCAACATTTTAGTATTACAAAAGCACATTACTCAGCTGCCGTAAAAATTTACCGGAAAACCGGGTATAACGTCCCAACACCTGGGCGCTCACTTTTAAATAAAACACTCGCGACTTATTTATTGTAAAGGGTTAATTTTCGAAACAGCTCGTCTAGCGGCCCCTTTTAGACTTAATGCTTTCACCTCATTGCGTTTTAATTGTGGAAAAATTTATTAATGTCTTACTAGGCTGGCTTTATAATGATGGAACTTATAATAGACGTCTTGGAACCTTTTCAGTGATATTAGATTGGTAATATGTTAATTCAGATTATGACTTCTGTGTGTAATATGCCATCAAAGATGTGACCGTAAAAGTATTCTGAAGTACTACACTTATTTGTTCTGCTCCATATCATTTTATTTATTACATAGACATCTAAGTGAAATGCAAAGTATTGTCAAATACTTAGTGACCTATATTTGCTCACGGATATAAAAACCGGAAAATTTTGGTTCTGCCGAAATCATATCCATTAAGTTTATCTATGCAATGCATTAGATACAGCTACAGTTCCTACCTCCGTTGCATGATAAACTGTCGGCAAAATGGCTTTCTTTGGAGTCATATTAGTTGTTGTTTGGAAAATAATCGAAAATCTAGTAATCGATTATAAAGTGAAATAACGATGAATGGTGGTACAAAATTGTACACACTGAATTTTGTAATTGAAAATGAAAAATGTTTATTTCCAGAAACCATTACAATTTATAAAAGCACAGATTTTTAACATTTCCAAAGATTAGGTATTAGTGTATTAAGCTAGTAGGACATTAGGGATCAGCATTTATTTGCTGCTTAGTAATTCAGCTTAACCTCTAACAATTCAGATTATTTTACTTTATTCGTGTCTTAAAAATATGTTAATATGAATAAATAAAACAAAAAAAATATTAGACAACTACTACTTCTAATTAGACCTTGCTCAGATTTCAAGATGAGTAGCTAAAGCCCCATATTGCGGAGTATCTGAGACAACGACGGTAAAATCATAATATTTGAACTTCTTATAAGTAACAGTGGTGATTAGGCATTGATAAATATGATAAATGACATAAGCATTCATATTTGAGACTGCAACAGTCTGTATAAATCTGTAAATAGCGAGAAATTCTAGAGCAAAATCTGAAAAAAAATCAAAGTTCAATCAAGCTGCTAATCCTTCTACAAAAAAAAACTATTTAAGCTTGTTAACACATGGATTGTATTTTGTAGTAATTAATGAAAAAAAAAAACTATTAGAAGAAATACTAAAGATAATCTTTTTTCAGTCTGGAGAAGAAGCTGGCTTCCAATCTGATAGTGAACTCTCTTCTATATTAAATGCTGAAAAAATCAATGAAGGTTTGAATAGTGAAAGATTACGAGGTGAGTGACATGTGTTTCCAGAGATTTTTTTAAACAGTAGCATAAATAACAACTTTATATATATTATCCTACTGTTAATAGGACAGATTTACAAAAAAAAACTGGAATATTAAAATTACTAACTAGTTTTCATTTGATTTTTTTTTTCATTTTTATGTTAATTTTAATATTAGTGAATAATTATTATTTGCGATTAAAATAGTTTCAGTTTAGAATACATCTTATTAAGTTCGATAGGACTTAATGACGACTTGGTAAAAAAAAGAACTTCTATTTAGCCCGTCATTAAAGATAAGGAACGGGGGCCAGCTACGTCACAACTATGTTGAAAATGTACATACTTTAGACGTAATATGACATTTCAACTCAATGTATCGCCGTAATTTATTGATTATTGTAGATTTTTATAAAAAGCTGTTAAAAACTGACGCTGAGATAAGAAATCTAAAGAAATCTAGCAACGAAGTCTCAGGAACGTATTTACATAATGGTAAAATGAACTATCTAAGTGACAGAAGGAAAAGGTCACTTATATTCAATAATCCGAAGTTTTTACGATCTCATAATAAAATGATCACAGAAAATATTAATTCTGGCGGAGTAGATCGTATTAAAATCAATGGCACATTGAAAAATTCCAAAATCAAAAGATTTGTCAATGGCACTGAAGAACCTACAGGCTTTGTTATCGAACATAAACAAATAGTGGTCCAATATAAACCTAATGATAATATGAGAAAGGTACCAAAATGTTCGCATGCACCGAAAGAGTCCAAATCCCATGAAAAACAAATGAAACATCCATTTTACAAAAACACCCAAAAATTGGATGAGTTATTGGACCATCTTTTAGATAGGAATCTGCCAGAGCTTATGGCTGACCCTTTTGGAGTCGACACTCTATTCAACAAAGATAAAGAGAAATTTAATGAAAGAGAACATAATGAATTCTTAACAGAAAAGCATTATGACCCTCCTGAAGTACTCGTGTCTGAAATAAAAAAAGACAAAGAAGAGACAAGCAAAGATTTCTTGGATACATTTAAGACTAGTGGACAATTAGATACAAAGATTTTCGATTTTAAGACTACAACTAAAAAGAGGTTAAAAGCGACTACACATATACCTTCATATTTTAACGTTCTGTTAAGCGTGACTACTGGGTAAGCAACCAATTATAAGACTAGCATAATTAACATTAATTATATAATAATCGATTCAGTAATTTTTACTAGACAGCAATGGTCTTGAAAAAAATATTTTGTAGAAAATAAGGCAGAGGTACCTGATTACATCTTTTTGTTCTTGATGAACAATTCTATTAAAAACCATTTCATTTAAACTAGAATGTTAAAACTCAACTGCATTTTTAACTAAGACAAGAAACTATTTGTAATGTTGCACTATACAATTATTACAGAAAACCATTTCAAAAGAAATCTGAAAATATCAATATGTTTAATGCCTTACCAAGTTTGCCACAATTAAGAAAACTGATGCAAGTGAATGAAGATGATGAGGAAGGTTTAGGCTATGAAGATTTGAATGAAGTCCTTGCCGATGAATCTGATACTCATGATGAAAGAGAAGAAGGCCAGGAAAGAAGAAAAAGGATGGAGGTATAATCATCGTGATTGAGATTAGTAATTTACCAATGTGTTTTATTAAATCAGAATGATGAAAATTATGGAAAACATCTTACATTAATTTTTATTTCGCAAATATTTTTAAATTAGTGTCATAATTACAAGATTATCAGGTTTGAGTTGCAGTTTGACATAAGTTTTTAGCTAATTAACTTGGTAACTGTCCGTTATGTGGCTAAGTTACTGTTATGTTAATTTTATCCTTCATGAAAAAGCACAACTTTTTTGTTATTATTTATTTCACTTTTCTCAAGTTAATTCAAGGCCATAAATGAGTCTATAGTAGGACGAGTTTATCCATATAGAACTTATTAACTTTTATCTGAAATTTGTTTGTGTTATATGCGCTAAAATTGTGTGAACTGGTTATTTTTACAAAATGAATCAAATTATTCTACAGGAAAATGCAATGAACACACAAAATCACCCAGTACACCATTCGCCAAGCTTGATTAACCCCAATTGGAAAGGACCAATGCCTCTCTACCCGGACGAGTTAATATCTATGATAAAACAGGCGGCTATTCAAAATCTAAATTTAAATAATTTCAATAAAATTAAAATTCCTGAATCCAAAGATGTAGCTGAAGTTGAGGACACGGTTAATCTTAATGATATGGAATATATAGAGAATTATTCAGATAAAAAGCACGAAAGGCTTGCAAAAATGGCTCAAGCTTACAGCGATTATGGAGTTTTGGATGGTAAAAAAGCATCTGTTGGAAAAAATCAAATCACTATGAAACCTAAGCATATAAAAAAGTCAGTTGCCAGAAATAAGTCGTGGAAGCATTCTCTTTTTGGTAGACCAAAAAAAGGTGAATAATTTTTATGTATTACCTGAAATACAAACGTACATGATTTTATATTTGAAACTAGCAACCCAAAATGGCTTCGCACATAATTTATATCAACATATATTTTTTCAGTTTTGCCAGTCTAGACAAAACTTAATAAATTGTAAACTAAAAATATATTTTTAAATATCTCAGTTTTTCTCAGTTATTCTTCCTTCATAATATGTTTTTTGTATTTATGCTCAAATAGTTATTATTTGGGTTAAATTAAAATCTCTGCTTACTTTTAAAACACTGCCTTACTCCTGTGTTCTCGTTAACTTAAAACTAAGCTATCATCGACTTATTGCATTTCACTAATGCTATTATTTAAAATACAAGCGACAAATTCACGAGGAATATTAAAAAAAAACTATTTTTTCCATGAAATGTTTAATTTAGTTTTTATATTTGTTTTAGGTACAAGTTTTGAAGGTTTTCGTTTCGAAATGAAACCGTCGACGCCCTCTGATAAAAATGAACCGTTAGAATTTCTGAAGACCATAGGAAAACACGTCAAATTTGAACACGCAAATACATTAGGAACACAATACGCTAAGTCAGATTCGGAACCAGCATCCGCTGACTTTACGATTTATTCTATTCATGGAAGAAACAGCTTTGAATCGCATACTAGAAAGAGTAATAAATATAATGAAGATAATGTTGTTAGTTTTTCGGGCCGCTTTAGCAAAAGGAATTCAAGAAATTTGCTTTTCGTGAATGTAATGGACGATGAGAAAAATGAAACGGACTTAGATTTTCATGAAGCACTAAATAAAACAAATGGTTCTTATAAATCTGAAAAAGATTTCCTTAAAGCAGTACTTCATATTAATAGTGAAAATATGAAAAACAATAGCCAAAATTACAGTACAGACTTGAGTGATTTATTCATGACAGTCTCAAATTGGTTTACTGCTTTAGCCGAAACCGCGTTTGATTTAAAACCCAATAAAGTGGAACCTATTGAGAATAAGTAAGCTTAGCTTTGGAATAAAATAAACTTCAGTAAATAAAATTTTACAGAATTATAATAATATATAAATTAAGGAATTGTATTACAGTTTCGACATAATGAAATTTAACGCAACGGGACAAAACACTAACACAGGTGTAAAGGAAAAGAGATACACTAATGTATTTCATCCCAATTATGGTTATAATGTGATAGCAAATATAAGTCACAGATCAAGATTGCTTATGTCCATAGATGATTTCAATCAAAATAATGCTTTTTATGCCACTACAGAACTCAATAATGTGGAAAGTTCATCTTCTGCTAAGCAAAGTACGTCTAACTTTATATTAAATACATACATTTCTATATTACAGTTAAGTGAATCTATTTTTATTCTACATTTACACATTCCAGATAATTTGAAATTTTCAACTGCCGTCGTAAGTACCATCACAGGATCAGCAAAGTCAACAACATACAATTTTACAACTCTCAATGATGTAACCGAAACGGCTTCTGTTACTAATAAACCTAGTATATATGACAATAAAACCATAGTCAAAAGGGATGCAAATGAAGTCAGTAATTTGATTTTTTGGAATGATATGTACGATGATGAGTATGGAGTAAAATTGGATCCAATAGAAAATGCTATGAAAAGTAAACGGCTTAAAACCAGAGGTTTGAATTTGGTCAAGAAATCTGGTAATTGGATACAAGACAAAGTTAAAAGTATTGCTAGTAATATACGCGGTGATGTAAGAAGGACTACCGCCAAAGACGTAGCATGTAGTAGATCATTGCGATCACCGATATTTCATGGGTCAGTTGTAAAAATGTTTTTCTTTTATTGAAAAGATAACAACAGTCTTTCTAATCAGTATTTATGCGTTTCAGATCTGCTGATAGTCAAAAATTTAGTACACACAAACATTTTCGAAAGAGAAATACTTATGAAGATGAGGTAATTGAAGTTAATAATTTTAAGTCATAATCCATAATCTCGTTGAGTGGAAATTTTTACTTATAAATATTGTAAATCAAATCGAATGTTTATTTAGGATCGTTCGAGTGATAACAGTTTTGAAAATCTAACACTGAAGATGAAGAAAGTCTGTAAAGAAGCAGCCAAAGCCGTACAAAATACGCGGCACATAAATAGTAAGAACCTTTTTGTAATTAACCATCAATTTTGTAGTATGATAAGAATTAATGAATGAAACAATATATAATATAGTTATATGATATACTCCAGATAAATTAGTTATATCAAAATGATATCCAGACTATTAGTAGCGTATTAATGTCATAAAGAGTACGCACTTAAAACAAAGCAGTAGTAGGTTTAAAAGCATTTGTTTTTTTTTTAGTTTAGTCTTCTGAAGAAAACTTTAAGAAAATTTGAACGATAAATATTTATTTATATTTGGTATTCTTTTCTTTCCAATAGTTCGCCAGAATGAAAGGGACGATACATTAAGCACATCATTGATGCAGCAACTGATTCATCTGATGACAGACGTGATAAATTTTCAAGTACAGCAAAAAACATGTATGAGTATGTATCAATTTTATTAAAAACTGTTTTTCCGCAACATCACTCGCGTGCATCACCAGCCTATTATATAGCTTCCCGCAAGTTTCTAGTAAAATTGGTGTTTGGTATGGAAGGAACAAGAGTCGAATATTTTTGTTCCATGTTCGCAAATTTTCGTAAACCAGACTGTTATTTTTGAGATACCGATACACTAAAACAGAATCAGACTGCTATTTCCGAAATACTAAGTACAACAAAACACATTTTCAGTAGAATCATAGGACTTGAAATAGTAGAAAATCTTAGTTATCTTTTCTTTAGAGATAGATTGCGATGTGCATCATTAACACAAAACATTGACTTTTTTAGCTGTGTAGCTCTACAGTTGACTGATCCGAAGAACAGGGGATTCTAATTCAAACGTAATTTTAGTTGGTTTTGGTCTATTGGCGACTCTATCTTAGTTGAAATAGTGTTTCCAAATATATGCTTAGTTATGTTTTTGGAAACATAGTTTAGCTTCTTGAATTAACGATTGAGGTAGAATCTTATACCTATATAGGGCAAACACACAAAACAACAAAAATAAAAAAAAACGAACGCAACAACTTACACGTGTTGTTGGTAGATAAAATAAAAGAGAAATTTATGTTTCTATTTTAGGATTACCACCAGATCTCGAAGAATTTTTAGAATGGCTAACATCAGCAAATTCTGAAAAATCTGACACTAGATCTTCCAGAACAGGGGGAAGCCATTACGAAGATATTGGTATGTATGGGATATACGTAGACCTAATTTCTTTATGTTGTTTAACAAGAAACTGTTTTTTATTGCAACTGTTTAGAACTACCATCGTATCCAACTCCAACAAGTGAGAGGGAAGATGTTCACCCCGATGCCAGGTCTGACTGCCTGGGAACTATTCATGCCGTTGAAGATTTGATGCAGCAATATGATGAAATGAGTGATGATGACAAGGTACACTTTATCAATGGCAGATTAGTAGAATTAGATTTAGTAATTCAGCAAACTTTGTTATATGTTATATGCAAATATCGAGTATTTAAGAGACAAGCTCTTTTAACTGATTGTAAGAGTATTTTAAGTAATCCTATTGATTTATAATATTTTTTTAAAAAGAGAAGTTCTCTAATAAGATGTATTAGAAATTTCTCTTTTCCATATTGTTTAGGGTCTGAGTGTTTGTAATACCTTTGCTATGTGCAGTGGTTTCAGTTATGTGACTGATTTTGTGCAATATAATTTATTTTCAGAGTAAAATGACGGGCGTTCGGCAGTATTTAGAAAACCAACTTCAGTTTCTGCATAAACAACTTTCCAGCTACGAGGATAACAAAGTAAGTTTCATTATCTAGTATCATTATCTTCCTCGTCCGATATACTGGATTGATAAGCGACTTCGGTGAATAGTTTTAAAAGGTTACTATTGTTGATTGTCCTTAAGGGCACTTTACGGTTCTGTCCTATTATCGACAAAAGGAATGTTATTTATTAAAAAACAGCAAACATTTTTAGAATAATTAATCAATAAAAAATGAAAACGCACTTTAACTTTAAATTTATTTCTCAACAGACGCCTTATCTGTATCAAGATCAATCACCGTTCAGATTCAAAAGGTATGTTTCGCCGATCCGTAAAAATAAAATTTCCAAGCATGGCTTACATAACAACCGATACAAAAGAAAATTTCTAAAGAATTTTGGTAAAAAACATACAAAAACTACAGCAAGTGTATATGATGGCTTACCTACAGAAGAACAATATAGATCTAGTGCCAAACCAGAAGGAGATGAAGCCGTTGTATCAAGAAGTGATATAAATAAAATTGGTAATCCAAAGAAGAGGAATTTGAAGGATGTTTATTACAAAGCTTTGAATGATGCTAGGAAATTTACAACGTCTAAGAGTGTACAGTCGAATACATTGGATGGATTCGATAAGGCCAACATTGTTCGAATAGATTAACGATTGTAACTTTCGTCTTGTTTAGGCATTGATTAGGTAAATTCTTTTTTTTATTAAGTTCTGCATATGTGGACTGTATCTTCGATACTCATGTTCTATAGAGATTAGATTAGGCTCTAATCTCTATTTCGATCGTTTTTAGTCAATCTCATGTATGATAACCACCAATTAAGTTCGTACGTATATTTTCACAACTTAATTTAGCACTTATGCTAACAGATGTTACTATCACCCAGTCGTCTAAACGACCATTAAAGTTTAATGACGACTTTAAACTCAAACGAATGTTCTAAATTTAAAAATGTAGAAAATTTGTATCGTTCATGTCGTTTTAAAACTAATGTCAATTTTGTATCATTGATGTCGTTTTAAGCTAATGTCAATTTTAACGAACGAATCTGCAACTGCAAGTTTTTTACTTTGAGAGATATGTGTTAATAATGGAAACTATGATCATACCTATTTACACGAGAAGTATATTATCTGAAGAGTTTATGAATTCTTCAGATAATATACATTGCATTTAACATAACTAGATCGCTTGTCATTTGTGATAAGCGTTCACAAAGTTTTAAAGTTTAGCTTTGACCAAATCGTTTATTATCTCTAGTTGAAATACAGTTCTAAAGCAATATGATAAGAATACGAATCTTTATAATGGGAACAGATATAATTGTCATTACAAAGTCTAGATTTAATAAAATAGCTAATTTATTCGCTACTTGTTACAAAAGATTAGTTCTCTTTTTAACACATTTTTAGCACGCAGAGGTACTAAGAATTTTATAATACTGTATCTTTTTCTTCGTTTAGAAAAAGCAAAGGGATTTTTGCAGCTATGTTTTTGTTAATTTACTCAATGTTTCTATAATTTAAATGATTCGTTTTTACATGATTTAAATTTATGCAAGATTTGTCTATTGTTACAAATAAGTTTAGTTGTTTTTTCCTCGTGTATGTTGATTAGTCTTTAAATTTGTTGTTAATTATTTATAATCATGTGATTTCGTTGGAGTAGATTTAAATATTTTTATATTTAATGGTTGATAAAATTTAGTTTTAGACACTTATTTATGATTATTTTTATTTGTAAGATGTATGTGAAGTAAATAATAAAATTATTTAGATCAACTTTAAGTCTTTAGTTTTATTTAGTTCTATATTGCTATTAACTTTTTTTTACAAAATATAATTGACAGGAAACTATTCTAGGGTCGTGAAACTTTTAATAGATAGACCAGGTATTTGACAACCATCTGGTAATTGCATGTCTCGACTGTCTGGGGTCTGGGAGGAGGTTCTGATGCAAACGAGTCTCCTCCGTTGTGAGGTTGTCGTTTGACCTGAATGGTGGCTGGGTGTGGAATAATGCCTGCTGGACCGAGATCCTTCCCCAAAAGAGAGGATGCATGAAGGGCGTTAATGGGTATGCCATCCACGTTTTGACTATAGTTCGGGCGGGTCTGTGCAGATGGACAGCCCCGCACACACCGTACCGTCCGTCGAGCAGAGGGGACAGAGCATAAAGCCTACGACAAAAGAAGCGTCGTGAAACTATGCATTATGAAACAGGGCATTTGCAAGTGGGATTGCTAGTGAAATTAATTTCATGCCATTGGAAAGTAGTTTCACATGTTTTTGAAATCTTACTTTATATTGTTACGGAAGTCGATAGTTCTTTTCGTAATGGCCGGTCATAGGATTGGTGGCCGAAATTTAATATCTGGAGCTCCGTTCGGATGGCACGTTAAGATGTGATCGAAATATTTTAGCTTTGGATTAAGATGAATAGCTCTAATTATCTATTATTTTGTTAAGAACTACCTAGTTAAATAGATTTTTTATTTTTGAATAAAAGTATCTGTAGAGGAAAAAAAATTAAAATTTCTATAAAAATAAATTAGATTCAATGTATGGGTATTTTTTCTACTATTATCGATATATGTTATATCTTTGTAACCCACTGAATTGGTTGAGGTTTGGTATTAGGACAAATCTAAGACTAAATTAATATGAAGGATTTTTATCGCATTAAAAGTTTCTCCAGGTATAAATGTACTGTCAAGTCCGTCTAAACGATGTGGTCGAAGCCGCTGGTGTAAAGCTAGTTTGTAATATTATTACGTTTCGTTTCCATGCCGTTGTAGTTTCTCGTCACCCTTAAACGATATATTAGGGTAGTAGACACTACGGGAATGTTTATTTCGTATTGACACGCTAAATTACTGCATTATTCAAGTGTACATCGTGTTTGAAGAAGGAAATCGAGTGTAAAAATATATTTTTTTAAATCATCCATATGAACAGGTTGTACTTTATTTTGACGAAGTATAATAACCCGTTAGATTACGTGGTTACTGGCACTTTTTACCAGTAAAAACACTCTTTAATGCCTACTTTGCGTCGACCACAATTCTGCCAACTTCACGTAGTCCATTACAGAATATAAATACAACCAACCAATTTTTTTTTTAATTATATCACCTTTTTATACATGGATACCAAGAACACGTTAAAAGTTTTACAATACAATATGGTATGTAGTAAAATAAAATAAACACTAGAGATGATCGTTATCACAGACTATTATTATAAATTAACGAATTGCGTAAAAGTTTGTGAGCGATGGTACAACAGATGTGCAATGTGTCTATTATCCCTGTCGTCGTAGGGCGCAATAAGGTAGTCAGGGACTTTCTTTCGCTTTTACACTCTCTTATAATTATCAGACGACACGAAGTTCGTTTGGTTCGCTTATCGATACTAATATTGTAAAGAAGAGTTTTTGAGGATCAATTTTAAAACTGTTTCGCCTACTTAACGCTACATTATACGAGGGTAACATATTCTATGATTTACGCGGGAAAGTCGCGGGACAAAACGGCTAGAATCAAATAATATCTTTAATACATTGCTGTTAAAAGTTTATCGCAGTGTCAAAAGCAAGACTTGTTACATTGAATATAAATCCGAAACGCGCACTGAGTAAGTAATAAGTCGTTACGTTAAGCTATAAAAGGAAACAATGCTACATCTAGACTTCGCCGCCAAGGGACACGATAAAATGCAGTAATACCAGAAAAGCTTATATTAAATATTACACAAGGTGCAGTGGACTCGTAATAAAATGCAGGCACTTGTATTATTTACAGAGATTCGTCTAGCGAGTGATGTATTCGTTGGGTGGATGCAATTTTATTATATGTTCGATTGAGTTTAAACATTTTTTTAAAGAGGTTTTATTAATAACGCAAAGAATCAGTGACTATGACAAGTATATTTTAAAAAAATATGATTGCGATCTTAATTTACAGATTGTTACTTTCTCAGGTGTCTGAGATGGCATTCATCCGCTAGAACAAGCGTCTTCATAGTGCTTCTTAACTATAAAACTTAAAAGGAGGTCTCAATCTATTTAATGGAAATGTTAATATGAAGCTGGCACTGAAAGTTTAGAAACTGACCACTTGTAATAATTGAAAAAAAAAAACGTAAATTTTAATGAAACTCTTTGTTAATTTTATTAAGTAATATTTCATTCTCTTGTTTTCTTTTTTCCATTTTGGGAGCAAATTGAAAGTTGTCAATGACAGTATGAATTTATCGCGAGAAAATTTTCGCTTTCGTGCAATGATTTAATATAACTTTCGTTGTCATTTAAGTCATCAACAAAGCTATGATATAGTTCGACAAGGTGAAGAAATTAAGGATGATGACAGACAACATTTAGATTAAACATACAACGTAAAATCGTAAAAATATCATGATTTTAACAAATAGTGTCTTAAATCTAAAACATACTTCAGAAGTATAAAATGTGGTATACCCCTAAACTGGAAAAGATTATTCCGGTCACGTAATCGACGTTCAGGTACGAAGGAACATAGTGTTCTATACATATATCTATAATATATACGTATATGTATAAATATGTACGAAAACGCTTGCGAGCTCGAGTGTACCGAGGCTGGTATCAATTTAAATATACATCCCGACTGTACGTGCTCTCTCATTACGACATCTACAGGCCGTTGTTTTTAGGGTATCTTCTTTGACATAAACAAAGGTGGGAAAAAAAGGAAAGCTGTGGGCTGTTATGTTTTTAAAAAATACTGTGGCGATAGATATGTCCATTTGCTTACTGAGCGACTCCATCAACTGAGCTACCCGAAATCTTAACAAAATTAAAACTTTGGTAGAATATACTAGTTAACTTTAAACTGAAATAAAATATAGATTTCTATGCACACGACTGGACGACAGGTCATCATAATATTACAAACTTCAATTGATCTTAAACTATAACCTCAAAGCATGAAGGTTTAAAATAAAGCGCGGAATTTGACAGATTTGTATAACCTGACTGGTACTGTATAATATTTGAATCGCTCGGTTAATGAAATGAAAAAATGCCAAAGAAAGAAGTTCCTTCTTATTCTTGTATTCGAGATGAGTACTTTGTTTTAGTGTTTAGCGTTTTAAATAAATATCAATATAATACTGTGAATGCAATTTTTGTCTAACAAAATACGAAAGACGCGATTTAAACTTACGCATTTTGCAGAAACATTTAACGAATATTTAATTCGCGTATGTCACTATAAAATTGTAGGCATCAGCAGTTTATAATTTGTCTTGTTAGGTTTGTATATCAGGTTAACTGAGGTTTGGTTAGATTCTAGCAAAATTATAAACTAAGGATGCTGAAAACTTTACGGTTATTTATTTATTTAGTATGGAAATTAAATATCCTATATATTTTTCCACTTATTAACATTCCAAATGTATCATTTTTTAAATTAAACAAAATATTTCAATTATAATAAATTTTTCAATCAATAGAAACACGCAGTTTTAATATAAAATAAAAGTTTATTTATATGCATTATGAAATTCGAAGGTTTGTTCATAAATAAATAAAAACTTATCTAATAAGATAACTGTTTAGCTACAGAAATATAAATGTTAAGAGGTGTCATTATTTTCTGTACACCCTGTAA